ATTTTAAGTTCAGTGGATATGTGACCTTTGGATTACTGCATATTTAATGCTGCAATTATGACCACTGGGAATACCCCCAGCTTCATACTGCCTCACATTATTGCCCTACAGATACTCAAAATCAAAATAAAACAACAAAGCTAGCCAGACAGAGAACTGAAATGAGCTCGACAAAACTATGGATGGGAGGCCGGGGGAACATGACAAAAAATGAGTAACAGTTATTCAGGAGAAAAGTAGAAAATGTTTACACAAAAACACTAATGCACACCTTTATGTTATTTCAAACCAGCTAAGTATTTCCTTCATAGTATTTCCTTCAAGTATTTCTAAATTACTTGTTGCAATGTCTGCTTTCAATATAGTTATTTTAAAACCAGTTCATTGAAATCTCTGTGTTCTGCAAGAAGGTTGTTGAACTTCCTTGAGACTAGGGTCAACACATTAAAAGGCCTAGTTTTTTTGTTTTTTTTTGGTTTTTTGTCTAAAGAGCAAATCAGATTAACTAGGCAACTTGGAGGGTATAATGAGTTGTGTGTGGCACACATCAGGGAAGGTGACAACAACACTAACATAAGAAAATGAACTGTTGCATTAACAGCAAAGGGGGGAAAAAAAAACAAAGGAAATTGAACGAAGTTATAAGCAAAAATTAAAAAGACTAAAAATAAACCTATTTTACTGTGAAGTAACTATGACAGGAAAGGAATTGTATGACTTCCCATATGGTTTTGTTTCATTCTGTCCCCAGGGAAACTCTGTCCCATACTCTTGTAAAGTAAAATAAATACAGCTTCATAAGATAAACATGCAGAAATGAGGGTAGTTTGTTCTCTCTCTCTCTCTCTCTTTTTTTTTTTTTTTAAGGATAGTTTGAGTGTAAAGATCAGTAGATATTCAGACCCTATTTCCAATCCTTAAAAAACACACCCACACAGCTTTTGTTTCTTTAGGAATGGCAAGCTTCTCCTAGTTTTTAAGAGAGAAGATAGAAGACTGTTCAAAATAGAACCCAAACAAAAAGCAGTAAGTTTTGGAAGTCGATCGTAAACAACGTGCTCCAGAACTGCAGTATACAAGATTCTGACAATTTCTGAGACTTGAATTTTGACCACTAAACATCCAATATTAAGGAGAATTTAAAAACTGGATTACATTAGTTGTTCAAACAGCCCTGAATCAAGAAGACCATAAAATTACAGTTCAAACTTATTCTGCATTTAGAATATTAACTAGATGAGTTACAGCTGAGTTTTCACTAGCAATATTAGTAGGTGTGGACACTGCACTGAAAGGCTAAATGCACTTTGAAGATCAACTACAATGACAGATGAAATACAATTCATCTCCAGACTGCAAATCAAACCACACGCAAAGTAAGGATAAACTGAATTACTGAAAGTTTACTTTCAGAAAAGAAAGTCAATTTAAAGTACAGTTGAATATTTCTATCACAAAAGCTATATTAAAAAAATGAAAGATATGGATTTATCAAGTAATTGCTCATGTGACTACTTTTTAATGAAAATTTGTATAGGATGTATTTGATAGGAAAAGAGGCCAAAGCAGTGTGTTCTCATCTTCAGCTCCTTAGCTTTGTTCTAATTGTATTCATTACACATAATGTAAACTCCTTAATGGTTACATATCTCAAATTCAGCTTAAACAAGAATCTAAATTCATTTACTATGGATATAAGTATTTGTCACCTTCACAGGTGATCACAAACTCTCTCCTAGTAGTATTAAAGAATATGAAGAAGGTTACAAAGGAAAAAGGACAATTTTTTCCCAAGTAGATGCCTAGAAATTACTTAAGCTTGCCTTAGATGTCCATATCTGTACTGACAGCTTGGACTTCCTGTCTTTGCAACTGTCTGTAAGGCATTCAGGAAGGAAGGTTTATATCTTTATATGTTTTCCATGAAGTACTTTGATGACTAATTTCTATAGTACTGAGTCACACTGACCTTTCACATACTCTCCCCATCTAAACTGTTGTCCTCTCTACTTTTCTCATTGTTACATGCCTTTTCCTCTTTTAAGTTATATTTATATTTTCTAGAACCATTATTTAAACTGTAGTTTATTTAAATACAGACTAGTATCATTGTTTTTCATTAAACAGTTACTGAAAATGAATTTTATGCAGATTCTTAAATAAGATATTAAAGAAGTCACCAGTGATGGTCAGACCAAAGTCTGCAAGCCTCACTCACCATCCTATTCATTGTTCGAGTGTTTCATTTACTTGAGAATTTCCACAATACAATGTGAGTGAAATTGGTTTGTACTAATATCAGATTAGTTGACTCTCCTAAAACGTTCCCACAGCATTAATTGCTTCAAACTTTAGAACGATTTAAAATAGCCTGGCAGAATCATGTCTGAGTCAAGTCTTCCTTGAAGTTGCTGAGAGGAATTGTTTTAATTAATTAGAGCATTTTTTTTTCTTTTATTCCCTTCAAACTGCAACTAATGGCTTTCTTTGGAATATCTTAAACTTATTTGGAGCTAAAAATACCTTAATCTGGCATTCTGACAACCAAAGATGAGTTGCATTAATATCTGTAAAGCTACATTAATTGCTGTCCTGTTTCAGATCTCTATACAGAAGTCTCCCTTTTTAATCTGCACATATTGCTGGACTTTGAATCTAAATATTTGAGTACTGCATCTATCACATTCTAAAGAAAACCTAACAGCAGACACTGTTCTACCAGCTAAAAAAAGATTCGTAAAACAACATATGATACAAGGTACTCACCAAACTCCTAGAAACAGTTCTTGAACTCAGAAAGAATTCCTGAATCAGTGCTGAATGTGATCCTCCCCTACTAATTCATGCTTAAGATAATATGTGGGGGTGTGGTGTAAAACTACAAGGGCAAAATTGCAACCTGATCTTCCTAGAGCAGCCCCCTGCCTGTTGATTCATCAGCTAGTTGTCGTTGCTTTTGTAGAGCACAGAGGTTTACTCTGGGTAGAAGTCGGAGATCTGCAGCAGCAGCCGGGAAGTTTCCTGTTTCAAGTTTTCAGATCTGCCTGAGCAGATTGCTTTCTAAAGAGCACTAGCTAACTCGAAATACACTTCTGAAGAACCACATACAGACTGTACAATATTCTATTATTAGTCCCTAGAAGACTTTGTTTCAGAGGATGCCATATTTACTGCATATTTAAGATAAAGACATAGTAGTTTATAACTCTAATGTCTTTTTTTGTTTATATTTGTTTGTTTCTTTTAATGTTTATCAGTTTTTAAATAAAGCCATGCTTTGCACACTAGGTCTACACTACATTGCAGTATCTGGAGCCTGAGTATGCTAAGGGCTATGCTGCCTTTATTAAAATATATACAGTCCTTCTGTGAAGCATGCTAGCATATGCTAAAACTAAAGGTAAACATAATTACAGTATCCAACCCTTTCCTCAGCCACAGTATTCCTGTAAGACAGAGACATTTAACTTGCCCATATAAAGACAGTAGACTAGAATCCTGTTCCTGGACACAACACAAAGGGAATTTCCCAAGTAATGAATTAAATAGCAACAGAAGGAACAGATGAAGAACAATAACTTATACAACCAGCAGCTGTAACCAACTGCAATTATTTCCAGGCAAAGACAAACAAGGGAATCAAATCACTTTCATGGAGGATTTTTATTTGTATGTTCATCAACATCCTCAAATGGATAGGAAATTTCTCAAAGTCAATTAACAGGCTTACTTGTTCTGAAAGAAACAGAAGTGCTTCTGGTAGCATTCTGGATATTCTGTCTGTTGTTCCTGGATTGTAAGCATGTCTGTAACACATCTCAGGGCAAAGTCAGTAGTCAGCTGAGTTGACCATCTACTGACTGGGTCAATAATCAAACGGATTACCTTCCCTGAGGTGAACTAGAGGCACTCAAAATGTAAAGGTGCAGTTTAAACACCAGGGGTTGGGTTCTGCTATACAGTTACTAATTACCAGCTCCTAGCTCAGATAAAGGGGAGAGCTTTCAGGAGAAGCTAGCTAAGTGGAAGCAGTCAGTTTGTCATTTATGTAACATTAAATCTTTGAAAACCACTTTGGCGGCCCATACATTTAGAACTGATATCTGGTAGTGCTATCTATACATCTCTTTAAGAGTCACAAGAAAGATGAACCAAAACAGAAGTACTAAAATGATACAATGATTTTTTTTTTTTTTAAATGCCTGTAAATTTATAATAGAATTATAATCATCCCAAAAATGACACACCTCATCATTCTGATATTCTCAGAATTCATTTATGTGGATGAACAGAAACTCAAATTTACTCCACTGTACACGGTAATTACATTAGAACTATTTTGAATGCAGCCACACTGGATACTGAGTGGGCTTAATTTACCCAGTCTGTCCTAAAATATTTCAAATCTAGGGACTTGACCTGGTCTAAACTTTAAGTGGGTATTTTTTGTTTTAAATGATAAATGCTGATTTATTTAGAGAATATGCAAACATCTTTGGCAGGTTTCTGATACATCAGAATGTATCAGAACCATTTCTTCCTTTCCCCAGAAATCTTGCTTGGGTCACTCAGAGTTAGTGTGCACAATAATGTTCCAGCCCACTTTGCATGATACTTTCTGCTGACCTATTTTGAAATGAATCAGGGTTTGAAAGTCAAAGGAAAAAGAGCATTTAAGTGATTATTATCCTTTAGGCAGGATAGCTTTACTCAGGGAGTACACCCCAAAACATCACAGATTGGTGAAGAGCAAGAAAAGCCCAGCAGAGAGGCCTGAAGGACAGCAGACAAGACCAGTGTTTCTAAATACTTTCAAGATTGTTCATATCTCCAAAAATTTTCATTAAGAAATCTGACACAATCAGTTTATACTGTAATTGTGCCCCCCAAATTGTCTTACAGCTCCATTTTTTTAAATGGCCTCCTTACCTTTCTACCAGTAAACAGATACATGTCACCAGCAGAACAGGAGAATGGAAAGAAAATTGTTAATAACTAACCTCATAGCTTAAGAGTACTGGAGAAGCAGTCATCTGGAATTTCTGTCATCAGTCTGAATTGAAGATTACAGAGGCTGAAAGTGACAGAGGGGAGAGACAGTGAGCTTTAAATTTTCCAATACTATGCAGCTTTACTTTATTTGTGCAAAATTGGTAAGTCCTAGCAAAACATTATACTTGAATGCAGTGGTGTTCAGGAACAAAAACTGTGTGCAAATGTCAAATATTGCTATTTTACTGTGACAAAATGCAGGCAAAGCAACACAAAATTATACACAAACTTTTCTGTATGCATATACAATACACATTATATACAATAATATTCACATACAATACATTATTTTGGGGAAATCTATAATCCAAGACTGGCAAGAAAACACAGCTGGAGAAACACAGAAGTATTTGCCTATGCAAGCTGTTCTTCAGGTCATAACACAAGTGGCTCTGCCAGTGAGGATGTGATATTTCTTGCATTCTTCTTCAACAATACAGATATTTCTGATCTTTTATTGCCCCCTAGTGATGCCAATTCATTTTTGATTGCTTAATTCTTTTACACATTTCCACAGAATAGAGTCCTGTTTCCTGCCTTTCATAAATTAAATACATTTTCCTTGTGCTTCAATTGGGCGAATAAATGTAAGTATTTCTCAAATCTCATAAGAAACTATTCTCAATCTTCATAAGGGACCAGACAGCAACTTTATAGGAAAAATACCATCAGCGTGGTTGGCTTGTCCCACTGATCTTAAAAAGTAAAAGGTAAGAGGTAGTATCACTATCATCATATACAGCAAAAGCTCCAAAGGGACTTTTCCTCAGTGCAGAAGCTATTGCTCTTGCAGAACTCTGAAAGGACAAAATGTTACTATTTTTCCATGCACAATGGCATGCCACAGCTAAATGTTGTAAGCTGGGGATCAGCTACCTAGCACAGACTACACATTTGCACGGCTAGTAGTAAGTTTTGTAGTCAAGTATCACATTATCTTGCAATTAGTTCATATTTTTAAAGGCAGCTGAAGTGAATGAAGAATGCGCTTGTTTTTCCATCTGAAGTCATCTATTTGCAATGACATGCAACTTCAAGACTGTCTTTGGGTTATAAAAGAGGAAATTTAGGTAACCTTCTTTTAATAAGATGGAGTTTTGCAAGTAGCTCTGATAATTGTTTTGTACTATATCTCTTCTGTTATTTGTGTTGTTGTCTTTAAATCATTTAAATATTTAAAACTCACATTAACATGAAAAAAAAAAACAACCATGAAAGGATGATAAGAACCCAGCAGCTGGCCCTTGAAGACCTGCCTCTATAATACACTCCTCTCCTTTTCCTCCCTGTTCTGTAACTTCCTGTTCTTACAAAGAAACCATGGCTATCTTTAGTATTTCCTATAGATTAAAATCGGAATGGACAGAAAGGATGATATTCTGATAACAGGCTATTGAGATAGTACAATAAGGAAACCGCATTTGCAGGCAACGTTTCCGTCCTCACTTCAGGACTCATCTCCAAAGGTAGATTCTTCAAATGCTACTATTCACTGCATCCTGAAAGGTCTGGGAAACAGCACTCATAAGAAGCTAAGGGATGCGTATGTTTTTGGAGGTTTAGATAGGGGTGAGAAGAGGAAAGGAAGTGACAGATGAGAGGAAACTGCTAATCAGATCCATTCCTTACTGGATGCAAAGTTTCTCACTCGGAAATACTGAAGCTGTTTGAGAAGGAGCAAGGAGTACATTCAACATCTGCTTTTAAAACGTATCCTTTTCCTGTGTCACTGGTCAAAACTGTTACCTCTTGCCAAAGGGCCGGACATGAGACACTTTGAAATTCTTGTTTTAGCTGGACAACTATTCCCTTTCTCATTCTTTAAAATATCTTACTTATCTAAATCTGCTTTTCAGGTAAAAAATAATAATAATAATGATGAAACTTTGAGCTGAATCAGAGTTCCTGTTTAACTAGTACTTCAGTACAAGCAGCTTTATGATAAACAACACTAAATGCACTGTCTCATCATGAGTTTTGACTCCTTAGTCTCTTTAGCAAGCTGGGTCTGCTTGTGCTTCTGATGAACACAATTACCCCACTGTTCTGAGCCAAAAGGAACATCACAGTAACTTTACTTTTGCAATACTCCAAAATCGTTTTTAAATATAATTTTCAAGTTTTCCACTTTTCAAGTCTTCCCATTATTTTAGTCCGTTCTACTTTAAAAAGTGATTGAGAGCAGGCTACACTTCTGAGTCTGAGGATGTACCACACTTCTCAGTAATCTGAAGCAGAGGCCCGGAAGGAATACTGAGTCTCGAGCAAGTCAGCACAGCACAACTTCCACTGCACAGAGTTAGAACTTGTTCTTGAAGCTGTAATCAGTTTTTCAGTTTATTTCTCTATTTATGATCTTACAAAATTTTACAATTATTTCTTCATTCACCAATTTCCAAATGGTAAAATAGTAGAAAACTTGGAACACGCTTTAAAGCTGAAGTTCTAAATAATTAGTTTTTATTACTACCTTTCTGAAAAGCCCAGACACAAGCTACTTCCTTAGTACAATTACAACAACAACAAAGTAAAGAATATATCACATAGCATTTTGAATAATAGAAATATTTCAAGAATCAGTTCCAACAAAAAAATTTGAATAATTGAGGAAGAAGGGGGTCAGGTCAGTACCAGATACCACTCATTCTTTAGAGCCAGAAGCTATGTGAGATTTGAATTTCATGACAAAATTCACATTGACTTTAATTAAAACAGAATCAGGTATGAAAGAGCAGTATGAAATTTGCCACCTTCCTTACACATGTATAATTTCTTAATTCCTTATTTCATTAATCTGATAAAAATGGAAACCTTTTCATCATACAGCAGAATTTATCCCTATGGTAGATCTTACCTGAAACAAAATATGTAAAAGGTATTGCCAGTAGAACTCCTGTTACTGTTAAATTATCAAAACTTATATGAAATGCTGCCTGATCTCAATAAACAATGTCTCAATGGAGAAATCAATTGTTTAAAAAATAATTTATTCCTCACATGGCTCATACCATGTCAAATTCTGAAAAACACTTTGGCTAATTCAACATCTACATAATTTTAATTAATCACCTATTCACTGTGTTTTCCATTCTCGTGCATCTTATCGTCAGTTCAGTATTTCACTAAGAATCTTAGGAAATAAGCCTCCCTTTCCATCTATGCCCTTTAGCATTGATAAAAATGTACATTAAGTCTAAAACTTCCTGGTTTAGTCACTGGATGTCACTGTTGCAGCATTAAGTAGTTAGATAATTTATTTGGAAACAGAAAGTAAATTTACCTTTTTTTTTTTTTTTTTTTTTTTTTTTAAAGGATTTCTTTTCTATTCAGGATGAAGTTAGTATGACTTTTATTACAGACAGAGATCAGGCCTTAGGATAAATTTATGCTTTGTGAAAAAACAGACCATTCTACTAGCTCAGTTTTCATTTAATTTCAGAACTGCTTTTCTTTTAGTGAGAAAGCATGGCCATTCTTTGCTTTTGTTGCTCTGATAAGAGCTTGATTTCTGAATATATATTTTATATCTACAAAAATGCAAAATTCTGTTAGCATATATATAAAGGAACATATATACATATAAATGTATACACAATAACACCACATTGAAATGCATGTATATATGCATTATATATGTTATATATATATGTTATATACGCATATATAACATCGACATAATATTTCTAAAAAACATTCCAAAAAACATTACCAGGTAGGTCTATGTAAAAAATTGAATGTAATGTGTAATTATTGAAAATATTACAACACCTCTTGCCTTAGTTGGCTTGAGGAAAAACTAAACCACAAGAGAAACATTAATCTACATGTTTGCAATCTTCAAGCTCTAGTAACTTAAACATGCATTAGTAAGAAGTCAGCCTCCTTATAGACACTTTTCCAAACCCTGTTGATATGCATCATATCACCTTACAGTTACCAACTATAAATGTATTATCATAGCAGTATTCAACTCTTTCCATCTCCTGTTTAAATTAACCAAAATGAAACTCAAGGGAACCCACATTTAGATAGATGACCAAGGATGAGCATTATTTCCTGTCTTTGTACTTTCTATTGATTTCCGAGAAAGTTATGAGCATGTCTGTATATCCTTTGTCTTAATAAATGATGAACAGAAATGAAAATTATTTTCTCTGTGGTGAATTTTACTGGAAGCTACTGGTTATAGAGGCTCCTCTGAAGAGAGCCTAAGTAGCCTTCTATGATTTTGTTTTTCCGTTTTTAAACACAACAGCTTCTCACAACCTGTGAGGCTGAATACCCCTCTATGATATGGCTGGAAAATAAAGTAGGCATGAGAGATGCTCAGACCATGACATAAGGAGCAACAACAGGAGTTTCACAATATGCTTTCAGAAAAGTATTTTGAGATGGATGAGTAACTGTAGGAAATGGCAGCTGAGGACACCACGAACTGCTGCCAGCTCAGGGAAGTCTAAGCAGCTAGTAACAGTGTATTTACTAACAAACTTGCCAAATCTGAATCTACTGCAATGTCAAATCTGCTTCCTTCTGCTCACCCTACTTCAAACACTGTGTCATTATGCTCTTGCCTAGAGTGGCTCTTCAGCATGTTTGCCCTTGTTACTTTTAAGTTCCATCCTCTTGCTCACACCTAATGACTATACCAGCTATAGAAGGACAATACAACTAGAATAACAGCAAACTGAAGGGCTGGCAGAAAAATGAAACAAAGCATTATGACCAACTCCTACAATGAAAACCTGCACTGTTCTCCGAGCCTGATCACTACACTTCCCCAACTCACTGGCTTGCAGACAGCCCAATATACCTGGAGAGGAAAAGGCTTCTTTAGAAGATACAGAGAACATTTCTTGAAAATGTTGCATACATCTTGGTGATCTTCAGCTGCTATCTTAGAAAACATATCTAAGCATAACAAGTTCCTGAGGTGTTCTCATGAGAAGAAAGAAGACTACTAAAACAGCCAATTGCTCCTGTGTGACAGTCCTCCTGCAATGCACCTACTTACCAGAGGATTATTTAT